TCTCTCCACCTATGGTCTCCGTTCTCTTCAACTACACTTCATTGGCCTCTCGCCTTCCCAAACCCCCTCTCCTCCCCAATCCCAACAACAAACCCCAAAACCCAATTTTCGTTTCCCCTTGTCGATTCAAAAGAAAAATCCACCACCACCACCACCACCACCATCATCTAATAAATGCCATCAACAATCCTAACGACAACAGCAACAACAACAGCCAACAGCCAACAACAATTTATAACTCTGTTCCCTGGTGGGTTCAAGTGGCCTGAGATAAAAGTGCCCACAGTGGTTCTCAAACTGAGCTCTGAAGAGATTCTTAGCAGAGATCAGGATTCAGTTGCTGAGGCAGTAAGCTTTGCGGTCTCCAAAGGGGTTGGGGTTGTGGTCCTTGAGAGCGACAAAGGTGATGATGAGAGTGGCTGTCTCCTCTATGAGGTTGCTTGTGTTCTCAAGTCTGTGGTTGGGGACAGAGCTTATCTTTTGATTCGTGAGCGTGTGGACATTACTGCTACTGTTGGAGCATGTGGAGTCATTCTCTCTGATCAGGGTGACCACTCACTTAACTTAAACTTATGATTTATCCTTTTGTATTTGATGTTTTTTGTTTCGGAATTTTTTGATTGTATTTGATTGTACATTTTCTGCTCACCTTTGATGACTAAACATCCCCGGTTGTTGCGTATCAGTTATCTTGGTTCAACCTCCCCCTCCTCCTCTTCCTTCCTCCTCCTCCATTCGCAACAAACCACTACCAAGCCAATGATCAGTGGCCAACCCCTATGACCGACCCAATCACACCCACATGCACGCCAACTGCTCAATGATATGTTGCGTTGCATTGCCCATGTCAAGGCCTCAATATAAAGAGTAGCATGTGACATGGTCTTTCCCCCTTTTCCCATTGTGGATCAGACCTAAAAAGTGTCACTTTATGTAATTCAATAATTTATTTTCTCTCAACTAAGCACAGAGAGAGAAACAAACATAAAATCTGAAAATATTTTCATTTCCTCCTCCTCTCTCTCTCCTCTCCAGATCTAAATCTCCATGGCTCCTCCTTCCTCCTCTCCTCTCCTCTCCTCCTCCTCTCTCTCTCTTCCTTCTTTTTCTCTCAGACAACAACATCCCTCTTCGCCATCAGTGACCTTGGGTGCATGCTCCGGCCATGTTCTTTGCTTCTTTTCTCCCACTAACTTTCCCACTAATTTTTCTACTCTCTTTCTTTTCTCACCAAAACCAAAAAAGCCATAATTTGGCTCGCAATGGTGAAACCCTCAAATTCATCGGAGTTCTAGTCGGAGGATCCGTCAAATAACAGATTGGTCTCTGACATTGAATGTGAAGAGGTGGTGAAAAACGAGGTGGAAGAGGTGGTGCTGGTGGAGGACGAGGAGGAGCTCGAGGCTGTCGCATGTTCCATAAAACCTCTAAACTATTAGTTTTTTTTAATTTATAATTTCTATTTGAACATCATGGAAAGATAAAAATTTAAAGAAATATCAGCTAAATGTGATTTTTTGGTAAAATTTGATGTTAAGTTCAAGTCCAAGGTAGAATATTAAGTCTAATGAGTTGAAAGTGAAGTCTAAATGCTTGTATGTTAAGTCTATTTGGTTGAATAATAAGTCTAAGGGCTTGTATGCTAAGTCTATTGGGTTGAATAATAAGTCTAATTTGTTGAATGTTACGTGTAATGGATTATATGTTAAGTTTAATTTGTTTCATGTTAAATATAATTTATTACATCTTAAGCCTAACGTGTTGTATGTTAAATCTAATTTGTGTGATGTTAATTCTAATTGATTGAATGTTAAGTCTATAGAGTTGGGAAGTGAAGTCCAATGGCTTGTATGTTAAGTCTATTGGGTTGAATAATAAGTCTAATTTATTGAATGTTAAGTGCAAAGGATTACATGTTAAGTCTAATTTGTTAAATATTAAGTGTAATTTATTACATGTTAAGTTTAATATGTTATATATTAATTCTAATTGGCATGATATTAATTCTAATTGGTTGAATGTTAAGTCTATAGAGTTGAATATAATCCATTAGACCTAGCATATAATAAATTATACTTAACATTCAACAAATTATGTTTAACATATAATATCCATTCCACTTAACATACAAGTCCTTGAACTTCATTTCCAACTCATTAGACTTAACATCGAACCAATTTGAGTTAACAAACGAGACTTAACATTCGATAGATTAGACTTGACAATCTTCCAATTAGACTTAACATTCAACTTATTAGACTTAATATTCTTTGAATTAGAATAACATTCAACATATTAGACTTGACATTCCTCTCACTAGAATTAACATGTGACAGTTTAGACTCAATATTATTTTCATTGTAAATAACAAGCTTTTTTTTTTTTTTTTTTGGTAAATGAAAAAATTTTATTCATTTTCCCAATTTTGAAATGAGAGCACATCAAGAACCAGAATGGTCTGGCAACCAAGAACAAAAAACTAACTTATTTACAATCTATTAATTCTTTCTCTCAAATGGTCTGGAACTTTTTCCTGCAGCACTTTCATAAGGACAGAAATCTTCACCTCCCTCACAAGTTGATCGGAGCTTCTACATTTTTGCTGAAAAATTCTTGAGTTCCTCTCCTTCCATATCCAATATATTGTTGCTGATAGCACCATTCTCTTCACCTTCTTCATAAATCCTAACCCCTTCAGGTTGTTATTAAACCAATTCATCACACAATTCCAATCACATGATCTCCAAGTAAAGCCTAACCATTCCATCATATCATTCCAGACAGAAGCTGAGTATTGACACTCGAAGAAGAGGTGATTTTTAGATTCAGGCCTGTTCGTAGAGCCTGTGCACAATACACATTGATTCTGATTAGCTTCCAAGATCTTCATGCGGTATAGCCTGTCTTTAGTCAGCAGCCTCGAGAGGATGGCAAGCCACATAATCAAAGAGTGTTTGGGATAGTGCAAGCCCCCCCAAACTGACTTCGACCAGTTTACAGTAGCTGAAGAGTAAGAAATGGCCTTGTATATAGAAGAGATTTGAATGTTACCATCTTTGAGACAGCTATCTAGAACACCTTGAATATTCCCCATACTTCCAAATCTGCTTATCACCAAATCTCTCACTTTTAAGAGTTGGCGCCACATCCAAGAGTCATTCTTCCTCGGTTGAATTTGCCAAATACTCTGATTTTGTAAATAGTTCTCATGGACCCATTTTAGAAAACATTGTACATGGCCGAGGGTAATTATAACAGATTACTTACATTCTTTATAACTTTTTTTTCAAGATTAAATATTAAACCATTTTGGTGTGAAGTGTTGGGACTCCCATTTTGTAAAAATATAAATATTAATTTTAATCTATATTAGCTTTTTGAGATAACGGTTAGATAAAAAAATAATATATATCAGGGGATAAATCCTATGTGGCTAACCTTTGCAATGGATAACTGTAATTTATGCGTACTTGAATATGGTCAATTGAACCCATAATTTAAAAGATTTACCTGTAAATTGAGGCAAATTGGAAAAAAAAATGAATATTTGAAGGGTAATTTTTCACAATAAATAGATTTGAGGAGTATATAGGTAAACACTACAAAAATGCAACCACATTTACATTGATATTCCTATTTACGATTTTTTTTCGCAAACACCCTTGTACATCGTAATAAGTAGCAAATGCTCCCTGGCCATTTGAACAAGTGTAGGGAGGAAGCTCCGAGTGAGTACAGCCGTCAAAGCCAATATCTGCTCATCATTGGTCATAGAGTCCACACACGAACTGCCTCCACTCCGTATATGATCGAGCCTGAACTCTTATAAAGATGAAAGCATCTGTTTACAGACTTCGAGTAGCAGTTTGATCGTCGGAGTAGACTGGCCTTTGAAGTCGAAGGATGATGCTAACGGAGTCCCCTTCAAGTGAAAAATTATTGAGGATCAAACTTGTTGATAGTTGTATGTAGCCCAAACTAAGCTGCATTCAATCGTGCGTCGGCCACATAATTAAGCACCTGTTAAACATTCGTCAACGCGACAAAGATACATGAGTTTCTTAGTAACAAAATCGAAGCATGCCTTTGCCCATGTACCAATTGATAGGACATTTGCAGGCTTCTTATTGCATGGTTGTGTCAAGCCGAGAAGTGCAGGAACAGTTGCAATTAATAGCTTTTACAGCAAACAGATAATGAAAAGGGAAAAAAAAATCCTTGATGTGGCATTAAGAGCTACACTTAAGTTCAAACTGTGTAACATTCAGCAGCTAAGATCCCAACGAAGAATGGAACTCCAATCTGTCTAGAGGATCTGAGCTCTTTGAGTATGAACATGAAAATCTCACTTGGAAG